GTCGATGAGCAGCTGCTGCTCTCTGGCTCTGGTCCCTCCTCGGCTCCGTTAGGGATGAGAGCAGGAGGCTCCGTGGTCCCCGCTGGCACCACACGCCTGTGCCTTGTGCAAGCAGCAGGGAGAGGGCGAGGGGCAGGGTGCTCCTCTGGGTGCTCCTCGGAGCAGAAACCCCCCAGGGTTCTTCTGCAGGGACGGGAGCGGCATCGGGCAGGGGCACAACGGGCACAGGCAGCAAGCAGAAGGGCAGCTACAGCGACTCACCCACCCAGCACTGCCGGGAGCCACAGGACACTTACTTTCTCCAGCCAGGGATGTGACGATGGCCAGGGCCAGGAGGGCCTTCAGGGTGGACATGTTCAGCAGTGTGCAGCACGGGGTGCGTAGCCTCTGTTTTGTCTTAAGGTCTTAGAGCTAATCTGCTTGGGTGATTGGCTCACCGGGCTGGGGATAACACACTTACTGCTGCCCCTGGCTAATGCCATCTTAGCTGGGGAGGATGGGACACGGCTGCCCAAGGGCATGGGCTGCTCTGGGGCATGGGAGCTGAGCAGAGCACCCGCACGGCCCTGGTGGAGGTGGTTGGACCTTTCCACGCTTGCTGGGATCTGGTCTGTGTCCTGCCCATGTCTGGTTTGGGAACGCTCTTCATCTCCAGGCATCGTACCTTGGGTGTCTTTCAAAGATGTTGTCCAAACCCACCTGCTCCAGCCAAAGAATAATCCTTTTCTTGCCATTTGCAGAAGCTGAGTTGGTGAAAAACCCTCCAGAGTTTCCAACCCACCAAAACAGAAGTGCAAGAGAAAGCTGAAAACCTGTGTGGGGCTGGGAGCCCAGCAGAGCCGTCCCTGCACTCACCTTCTCCCAGCCCTCAGCTGGGCAGGGCCATCTCCATCCTTACCAAGGGATTTACCCAGGGCCACGAAAGCTGATCAGGGTTATCACAGGGATTAAGCCGAGTCCCCCTGCCCAGCGTCTCCCCACTGCCCTTGGCTCTTCCTCCCAGTCGAGCTCACCAGTGGCTGTGCCACCATTCTGCAAAATCTGCCAGGGGCACCATTGCAGTGTGGTAGGAGTCAGGGGGCATCAAAGCCATCCTGGGTCTGGATTTCAGAGGTTCTGAACACAGATCTCAGCAGCAGATGATAACCATGCTTCTCTGAAGCCAGCTGCATTGTGGGCCACATTAATAAAAAGGAGGCAGAATATGGCCCATCCTGGAAGAGGAAGCCAACTTCTCCAAAAACCCTTCACCGACCTTACAAACACCAAGAAAGCTTTTTTTCAAGAGTGATAAACACGATTTTTATTCAAGCAATGAAACATGGAAAAAATATATTAGTAATCATTATTATAATCTCATTTGTGTGAGTATAACTCTTACAAATATTTACCCGACATATAAAAGGGAAATTATTGTACATATAAAATCCATGGTGATGGCAGTTAGGTAGATGAACAAAGCGATGGGGGTAGTAGTCAATGCACAGAACGTTCCTGCCCCGGGGGTCACGCTGGGGGGACGGGTGGGAGTGATTTGCAGTCAGGGCAGTCACTTGTTGGCACTTCCTCACAGACAGGGCTCTGCTGGTGAACACACACTTGGAAACAGCAACGCTACGGGCAGGCGCCCGCCACTGCCAGGAAGGGGCATTTGAACTCTACGGCAAGGGAAGGGCGAGAAGCACAAGGGGGCTGTGAGCCCGACACAGGGGCACCTGCGGAGCCTCCCCGCGGAGCGTCCCCCGCCCGCCACTCGGCCTGGCTGGGACAGGCGTGGGGACACTCGTGTCCTTGGATGCACGAGGGAGTTGCCATGTCCTGCTCCTGCTCTGCCCCGTGCCACTGGTGAGCCAGCACGGGTGTCACACCTCAGCAGCATCAGTGAGCATCCGCTGGCATCACACCTTGGTGGCCTCGGTGAGCCAGCGCTGGCGTCACACCTTGGTGGCCTCAGCAAGCGCAGGAGCTCTGGGACCAGACGGTCCCTGCACACCAGAGAGCATCCCGTGAGGTGCAACAGTGCTGCCCAATGACAGTTACAAACACATGCCTTCTATTATATATAACTATAACCATTGTGTGTATATTTATACATCTGTAACTATAACCATATTATAGTTAGGAAATCATTCCGTAGGAATCTTCTTTGCCAGACTGAGGTGCGTGCAGGCGGGCACAGAGTGCAGCATCGCCGGGGTGGGAGGCAGGGACAGGGGTCTGGGGGGACAGGGCCTGGGTGGATTCCTGGCCACCCAGGCAGCTCCTCTTTGCCAGAGAGGGAAGAATGGTGGGCACGAGGCTGAGGCTCCTGTGGTCCGTACCCAGGACCTGCCCCCAGCACTGGAGCTCCATCAGCCTCGTGCTGGGACCTCGAGCACTGCTCTGGCTGTGGCAGCAAACCTGTGTGCCAAACCAAAATCAACTTCTAGCCCCAAAACAACTTCCAGTGAGCTCCAAAAGCTTGTGCAGTGCTGGGGACCTGCTCCCTTCGGTGGCTGAAGGGCTGCAAGGAGAAAAACCCAACTCCCTAAAATCCCTGGTCCTTAAGGGTTTGAATTTACCTGTACAGCCCTCAGAAGGTCCAAAGGGGCAACACCTTCTGGGGGTCACTCACTGCTGTCACCACCACCCTGCAAAGCCAGGAAAGGGTCACACATCCAGGCAG